TTTTTTGTTTGTTTTTTTTTGTTTTTTGTTGTTTTTTTTTTTTTTTTGGTCTTCTTCGCTCTTTTTACTGCCAATACTGCCGCGTACCTCCTTCGTTCCTTATCTCCTGCTTGGCAAGAGCGGGGGTGCCGACCAGTACGGGTGAGAAATGGACCTTTACTACAGAACAACAGGCGGAAAAAAAAGGGGTGAGAGAGAAAGAGAGAGAGAGATGTATAGATACGTGCGTGCGTGTATAACTCCAGCCAGGGGCGGAAGGGTGGCGGGGGGGGGGAGGAAAAGAGGACTGCAGCCGGACGATACGGCCAGCTTGGCCCTCCCCTGTGCCGTGCCGTAGCTGCTCGCGTGCTTCTTCCTCCCCGGCTGACGGTGCTCGCGCAATACTTTGCCTGTTCGCACCACTTGCCTTTTCTGTGTGGGTGCGTGGGTGCCTGCTTCTTCTTTGTTTTATTTTTTTTGCCTTCGTTTACTTTATTTCTTCCTGCAACACGAAGAGAATGAAGAAAAAGGAGGAGGAGGAGGGGAGGAGGGGAGTGAGCTTTGCTTGCGCTTCCTCCTGTTGCTGTGCCTCCATCCCGGTTTGCCTTCGCCGCCGCCACTGCTGCTTCGTTTGTTTGTTTGTTTTTTTCCTTTTTCTCTTTTTCCTGCCGCTGCTGCCCCTTTCGCCTCTTCTCTGCGTTTGCCGCGCTGCCTCCGAGGCAAACCGAGAAAAGTAGAAAAGAGGCAGTTTTTGCTTCCCCGCCACAGCGGCGGGCCGAGAGGGAAGGGAAGGGAGGGAGACAAAACGGGGAGGAGCGGGGCGGCGGGCGGCGGGCTGCGAGTTCGGCATAAAAAAATAAAATAAAATAAATAAAAAAATCGCCCGCTCAGCGGCAGCAGCCGCGCGCCCCGGACGGCCGCCCCGCGGTGGGGGTTGCCGCCGCGCGCAAACTCACCGGTGCAGGCCCCTGCGCGCGCGGCCGGCGGGCGTCGGCGTACGCAAAGTCCGCGCTCGAGAGGGCGGCGGTGCCTGGCGCCCCACGCGGCGCGGGCAGGGCATCCACGCCGCCCCTCCCCGCGGCGGCCGTCTGGCCGCGAATGTCCGCCTGCTCCTCCTGCAACTCGTCCTCAATTCGAAGGAGGCCGCGGCGCTTGCGGTGGCCCGCCGCTGCCGCCGCGCCGCCGCTACCGCCACGCCCCGCAGGCGCCGTCGCTGTCGCTATGGCCGTCGCCAAAGCCTGAAACGCCTCCGCCACGTTCTCGCCGGTTTTCGCGCTCGTGTCAAAGTGCAAGGCGCCCTGCGCCTTCGCAAACGCCACCGCCGTCTCCCTGTCAAGGTCACGGTCCTCCTCTCGGTCCGCCTTGTTGCCGCAGATGACCAGCTGAATGCTGTTCCCCACGACGGCACGGAGCTCGCGAATCCACAGCCGCACCTTCTCGAGGGTGTCGGCGTCCGTGATGTCGTACACCAGCAGCGCCCCGTCGGCGTTGCGGTAGTAAATGGGGCCGAGCGCGTGAAACCGCTCTTGCCCAGCCGTGTCCCACACATTGAGGTTCACCGTGGCCCCGCTGCCGTCCAGCAGCGGCACGTCGGCGCTCGTGTGCATGCTTGCCTGAATGGTGCTGCTCTGGTTCTCGTCGAAGGCACCGTGCATGAAGCGCGACACCAACGACGTCTTTCCCACGCGTCCCTCGCCGAGGAGGATTACCTTGTACCCCGGCAGCACGGGCATGAGAAGGAGGGGCGAGGTAGTGTCGCGGCGACGTCTCGTCCCTTGTGCCGCGGCCGCCCCACCACCACCAGCAGCTGCCGCAGAAGCCCAAGCAAACGGGGCAGCAGGGAAGAAAGAGAATAAAGTAAGCCTTACCTTTCCCCCCTGAGAGGCGATGCAGGGAGGCGGGGAGGGAAAAAGGGAAATGACTTAGCTCAGTCTCCGCAAATGGCAGAATATAGGGGCGTTGCGGTCGCTAACTGTCAGCGCGCCCGCGTCGACCCTTCGGAATTACACCTCCACACGAACGCACTGAAGAGGTGGTGATGATGACTGAAGCCGCCTTCAACCCGCCGCCCGTGCAGAGGGGGCGGGGACGGTCGTCGGGTTGTCGGGTTGCCCGCACTTCCCCTCTCTGGCTCACTTTCTACAGTGAGAAGCGGAGAGCAAAAGTGATTTTGATGGAGTATTCCTAACACACACACAAAGACACGCCCGTAGGGTGTGGCCACACCCCTCAGAGGCCCTCAAAAGACAACAACAAAAAATAGCAGGGAAATGAAGAACGACACGAGCGGCTTGCCAAGGCTCACACTGAGGATGTCAGGTGTGCGGCACACAACGCTTTTAAAAAAGGCAGGCGCATGCTTGCTTGTGGAGGAGACGGCAGCGTCGTGCAGCGGAGTTCGCTACCGCCTACGAGGCACAACACGCAGCCCGTGTTGACGAAGCAGCCCCAGTGCCTCCTCCCCCAGTCGTTGCTCCTCCGCCCGCTTCGCTCGGCACTCCTCCTGCTGCTCCAGCGCAAGAAAAGCCTCGTCCAGCCGCTCCAGCTCCAATCGGGCCGATGTTGTCGCGTTCGCCGCGGGTTCCCCCACCGCGGTGGCCTGCGGACGACGCGAGAAAATGTCACTTGTCACAAGGTCAAATGTCATAAACGGCGGCCTCGACTTCTTCGGTCGCTGCCTGTTCGATAAATGAGCGCCGCCACTTTTATTCGGCAGCTCCAGCGCCGCAGGGAGAGGCGTTTCACTTCCCTCAGCGGCTATTGACGCAACCCCCGTTTCCTCGCGGCCGCCCCCATCCGCATCTTCATCGCCAGCAGCAGCAGCTGCTGCTGCAGCATGCCGAGTGGTATCTGCGCCACAGAGCTGCCACCGCCGCAACTCCGCCCTCAGTGCGGCGCCCAACGAGTAGAGGCCCTCCATGTTCTCCCGCACCTTCGCCTCCAGCTCTGCCTGCATCTCCGCGATTTCGGCGACGCACTCGCGGGGAGCCCCGCGGGGAGCGTTGCTCAACCGCCCTCCCACTTGAGCCCTGCGACGCAACGAGGCCCATAAATCCGTGAGATGCTCCCGCGCCCCCGTCGCACGGAAACGAATGACGGCCTCTTTCAGATTCCACCGCCCACCGCCGTCACGCTTCCCCGCCGCGGTCTGCGGTTGCCGCTGCCACGTCATCTCGTCGTCCTCAAGCGCCTTTGCAGCCGCCGCCTGAAGACGCTGTTGCTGCAATGACGACGCCTCTAGTCGCAAGGCGCGCGCCACAAGTGAGCCTAACTGTGAAAGCTGCTGTGTGGTTTCCCGCACGCGTGCCTCCATCCCTCGCAGATGCTGCAGCCCAGCGCACAGCCGACGGTAAACGCCGTGGTGTGCGGGGTGACACAACTGAGCGTCGAGGGCGGAGTGTAACCCCAAGGAGACGGTTTGCTCCGTCCGCTGATGCAGGGCACACTCGAGGCGGTTCATGGAAAGCGCAATCAGGCGCCGCATGGAGAGCAGCCGCCGCGTCAGGTCAGGCAAATGCATCCTCGGTGCGCCCCGCTCATCCAAAGAGGTGGGAAGAATTTGCCGTATTTGCTGCAGGCGGTGGGCAATGATCTCCTTCTCCAAAAAGGACGCGGGCGGCCACGGAACAGCGGCGGGGAAGCAACGCAGCAGCGCTTCCCCGTCAGGGTCGTGTGGTGGGGCAGAAGAAGCATACTCCGCTTCCAGCGCTACGCCGCCGGCATCCGCCGCTGGGATGCCGTCATGGCCGCGTGGGTGGTGGTTGCCATCGTGTGTGACAGGATCCCCCTGCTGGAGCAAAAAGGCGTACATACACTGCAACTGCACGTACTCGGCCACTGCCACGAGCTGGTGCTCCTTCGTGAGCCAGAGCAGCGCCAGCAGCAGCTCGTGAATAGAGCCATGCAAAGGGGTCTGCACGTAGAAAGCATCTCGTCTGTACCCCAGCTGGGCGAAGGTGCGAAGCACAAAGTACCACAACATGATCGTCGGGGGCGCCGCGAGCCGACCGACAAGCGGGGCAGAATGGCGTCGGGGCCGCTCAATTGGCTCCGCACGCTTTCTCGGGGCTTCTGCCAAGACCGCGGCGGGGTTTGAAGATGAAAAAGGGAGTTTTCCCCCTTCGCCCGCCCCCGCGCCTGGCTCAGTATGGCGGCAAGATCCTCGCACGGCGACGGGGGTTAAACGGCGTCGGAAAACAGAGCCCGGGGCTGTCCTTTGCTGCTGCTGCTTCTGTGCGGGTCGGAGCCCGGCAGCTGCCTTCGAGGTCGCCTGCGTGCCCCACCGCAGCCTTGTGGGAACACGCTTGCATCCGGCGCCTTCCCCCTCCGGCTCAAGGGAGGAAGAAAGTGAGGAGGCGGCGTCCACCGCCGCGTAGAGGTCCTCCGCGTCTCCAGAGAGGCACTCCGAGCCTCGTGGGGTGAACTGGAAGTCGGTGCCTGGGGCCGAGACGCAGTAGAACAACGCGTTGAAGACCACCAGCCAGAGCCCGTTGCGGAGCATGTCGTCGCTCAGCGGACCCTGTGGCTCCCCTGGCGCAGCCGTCGCCGCCGCCAGCTGGCGCTGGTAGTACCCCGCGAGGCCCTCCACGAAGGCGAAGACGCTCTCCTCCTCCTCCTCCTCTTCCTTCTCCTCCTTCTCATCCTCCTCCTCCTCGCCGGGCCCCATCGGCGGGGATGACGCGCCTGTGAAGTCGCCGCGCAGCGATCGGCGGCCGTGGCCGTCCGCCTCTCCCACCGGGAGGTCGGAGCCAAACGGCGGCAGCGCAAAGAAACCGAGGGTGGCCCAGACATTCAGCGCCACGGCCTGCAGGCAGGAGGTGTCACAGGGGGAGTTAGTCGCCGCCCCTTTGTCGCTCACGCCCTTCGCCGCCGCGAACGCCGCGGCCGATAGGCCTGGCGGTGGGCGATGCAAACTGCTTCCCGTGACGGAAGCGAAAGAACTACTTGTGGTTGCCCTCGTCGCCGTCACTCCTGCCGAGGCTGCCGTCGCACTGAAGCTGCTCCCTTCCGCCTCCGCCCCCACGGCAACACGTGTAGCTTGCGGCCCAGTCGGCGGCGCCTTCTCCCGCAGGTGGCGCTCGTCCGCCAGCTTCTTCGTCAACCCCCGGACCTCACACTCAAAGACGGCAAGCGCACCTACAAATTCATCGCACGCGTCTTCCTGCAGCCCGCTGCTGTTGTTTTCCCCCACGCCCGGCTCCTTTGCCCGCGAGCCGCCGTGGTCGCCGAGCGATATGACGGGCCGCACTTGGAACCGGTCACTCGCCTTGCCCTTACCGCTGCCGCTCATTGAAAACTACCTCGCCCTCTTCCCTTCTCTCTCTCTCTCTCTATGTATTTATAGATTATAATTGTATGTGTACACACTCTATGCATGCATCTCCCGCAGCAAACAGTTCAAAAAAAGGAGGGGCAGGCAAAACCGGGACCAAAAGGAACAAAAAAAAAAGGGCAACTAGACTCTGGCTAATGCAGCGACTTCCATTCGAGATAAAGTGAAAAAAGCTACTGGGAGTGGGAAAATAACTCCAGAAGCTAGCATAAACATTACCAATTAGACTTTGTAAGTGCATCGATTATCTCCGCAAACTTTGCGAAAGAGAAAGTGAAATGCATCCCGTGAGCGTTTATGCGCCTACGCTCATGTACATGTATATATATAATGTGTGTGTCCGTCAGCCCATGTATTCACATATTTTCCACACCAGACGCCCCTGGCGAAGCCGTGGGTCAGCGTGCCGCGGTGCCGCGGTGCCAGTGCTGTGCAAGAAAGGGAGCGCCTTGCCTGCGGCTACTCCTTTGGGCGGCGCCGTGTTCACAAAGCCCGGGAAAAATGCAGTACATTTCCCGCCCCACAGCTGCACGTGCCGACGGGTAGCGCCGCAGCGAGGGCGCACTACATGTACGGAACGGTAGGATGCTAACGCTACACGTGCAGGGAGACGAACAGTCACTATGGAAGCAGAGGAAAATATGCATCACGGCAACAGTACACATATATATGTATATATATATATATACGTACACACACACAGAAGCAGGTACG